ATGAGGTGATGTCTATGACCAAACGCTGTGGCCAACACACCGCTGGCCGACCACCAGGGAGACAGTTGTCATGAAGGGGTTGCTAAAACTGATCTGACTCTATCAGTCCCCGAGCATCCAGCTGGGGCCTGGGCATTTGGGGTCTGTGGTGTCATGCAAGCTGACCTCCCTGGAACTTAGCCTCTGAGGAGGAGAGGTAAATGGACAGGGCAAGTGGAGGACAAGATATGGTCAGAACTTAATGAAGCGAGGTCTGATCTGGCATGAAGCCAACTAATGCATAGCTGCAGAGTTGGTTCCATTAGCTCCTTTAATGAGATACAAAAGCTGGGGAAATGAGTGTGTGAGAGAATAATGGCACACGTCTGATGCTTTAATTCGAAGCTGTGGCTAAAAAGTTAGATTTGACACTGCCGGCACCTCTCCAAACAGCACTAGTGTCCTTGGATGGGGATGGGAGTGGGGGAGTGGAGGCAGTGAGTGAGGGGAAGAGGGGCATGGCTCTGGCTTTATAAGAAGATACTGAGGCCTTAAGAAGGAAATTCCTGCTTCTGAATCCTGAACTTGAGGTCAATCCATCCCATCCCATCTCTGAGGCTATGGCTACCGTTCTGAGTGGACAGAGCAGCTTGCAAGGGTCAGGGGCTAGCAGGGGTGGTCCTCATTGGTGTTAGCAGCACAAGGCAGGGGTGGTCTCAACAGCTGGCTATAAAATGAATCTTGCCATTCCAGTGGCATGTGTTTCTCATAAAATTAGAGATCTGTCACCATGGGAAAAAAATAATACCAAATAATCAGACTGGGAGCCAGAAGGGATCTTAGATATGGCTGAGTTGAACATTCTTGTCAAAGAGGGAATGTGGTAAGTTCAAAGTGTGTGTATTTATTTATTTATTTATTTATTTATTTATTTATTTATTTATTTATTTATGAACGTCTTAAATTTTTAGTCCTTTCTTTACAGGTTACCTAGACCACTTTTGATTAAGAAAACTGTAGAAAGTTAGTAAGTGCCACAAGCAAATGCCAGGCGGTGGCATGTGTCAATTTTCCACAAAGTTCTGCTTTGTGGGGTGTCTGAATGTGCTGCTCGGGGTCTCCACTCACATTCGCTGGAGTCAGTTGCGGCAGAGTTAAGTCCACAGGTCGCTTCTCCCCATATTTATTTGTAAACTCTTCAGTGTTCTTACAGAATTTTTTACGGTCCTTAGAGTATTCTTCAGCTAGATCAGCCCGAAGTGGTACATGGGCTGGGGGTCGTTCACCAGTGCTCTGAGGGACTGGATTACTTGGTCGGTTTTGGTTGCTGGCTTCCAGTTTTCAGCACTAATTACTGGCAGACAGACCTGCCCCTTTTCATTGATGTTTGGGTGATAGATCTTTGTTTCAGATATGATCTTCGGTGGTTTGAATGGGTACTCTGCTGGAAAGTTTATTTCGATTCTGAAGACCCCCTTATCATATGGAGGGTTGTCAGGAACAATAAGCCCTTGCCAAGTCAATAAATTAGCTTCATCAACCTGGATGTTCCGGAAGCTTTTCATTCTACATTTGCGGATTTCTTCAAGCTCCTTCATCAGCCTCCTGCCGGCCGCCATCTTGGATCTGGTGCTGCTTCAAAGTGCTTTTTCTTATCCATAGCCTCTCTCTGTAGAGAATAGAGGTTTCCCCACAGTGAACAAAATGTGATTTTAAAACCTGTATTTTCCTATAACATTCTGTCCAATTCTGCTGCCCGATTGTTGGGTGTTGAACATGATGTAATCAATAGCCCAGAAATGCAGCTCTTCAGCATTCTGGTCTGCCCTTGCCTGAGGCTGGGACTAGACCCCGAAGTGGGAGAAGATGTGATAGGGGTTAGGGACATACCAGTCCTTCTACCTCTCTCTTTTCCATACTCTGGCACAGAACAAAGCTGAGATTCCCCAGAAAATAAAGGGTCTGGTGATGTTATCTCAGCCTCCTGGTGGATGTGCCAGGCTACAATGCCAAGTGCTGGCCTTAGTCTTTAGGAGGGAGTTTATTATCAGATAGTTTCATGCGAATCTTTCTGTATCTTGGAAAATTATTGTCAAAGGCGTTTTCAGAATGTCACACTTTTCCCTCATGTAAGGTCTGATGCAGAATCCCTTTAAGAATTTGGTCTTGGAGGGGTGCCTGGGTGACTCAGTCGGTTATGCATCTGACTTTGGCTCAGGTCATGATCTCACTATTTGTGAGTTCAAGCCCCACATTGGGCTCTGTGCTGACAGCTCAGAGCCTGGAGCTTGCTTTGGATTCTGTGTCTCCCTCTCTCTCTGCCCCTCCACCGCTCTTGCTCTGTCTCTGTCTCTCTCAAAAAAATAAACATTGAAAAAATAAAAAATAAAAATCTTAAAAAAGAAAAAGAATTTCGTCTTGAAAAAAGTTCAAGGAATGTCTGTGCTTCTCTTCATGGGGTGATAAAAGCAGCAGAACCTATCTGGTTTTCTTCTTTGCCAAAACTCTCAGGAAGCTCAGAATTAAATTGTATTTTCAGTTGTAGTTATGAGTTAGTTACATGGGTGTCTGGTATATTTAATTTTTCTCTTCATTCTAAAGAGAATCTGATGGTTTTTGTTTTATTTGTCATGCTTTAGGATTATAAAATGCCTGAAATCATGTTGTCAAATGAATAGAGGAGTGGCAATAATAGACTTCTAGTGGCTCACTGGACAGTGAGAACAACTGGATACCTGGCTTCCAGGAGATTCCCTTTGCTGTAAGAATGATGTCTCTCAAGCCGTGGGTTGTCAAGAACTCCAGAGTTAATATTTCTTAATTTGTTAGTGCCTCACTGATGGGAGAGATTGCAAGCCAGCTCTCTTTCCCCGGAAGGAGTGGGTGTTCCCCTAGAGGCCACACAGCAGCTTGGCCCAGGCTGCAGGTTAACTGGCTGGGAGTGTGGGGGTTGGGGTGGGGTGGGGGAGGCTGCCTGTCCAGGCTGGTGGCCTTGGGACTTCCTGTGTGTGAGACAGATGGAGATAGTGTGAACACTTTTACCTGAGAAGAGCCCAGCCCTGGGGTTAGCTGGATGTGGACACTAGATATGTGGGTGAGCATATGGGCCTGGGTGGATGGCCTTTCTGGGGCTGGGAGGTGGCGGTAGTAGGGTGTTGGGGCTTGTCCCAAAACTGCGTCTTCACAGAGCCACTGCAGACATCCCAGCTCTGTTTGATGCCCTAGGAAAGCAGACAGAGTGCTTTTACAGCTCTGGGCAACGTGAGGTGATGCAGAAGATGGGGCCTCAGTGAGAGACGAGGTCTGAGCAGAGGGGTCTGGGCTTGGTCACCTGCTTGGGCAAGGCTGTCACAGGTTGAGTTGTGGTAGGAAGACCTCCAGTCTTTCTTGGGCACCTCTCTGTGTCCAGTACTCTGGTAGGCACTTCAGAGAGATAGAAAATGTTGGATGAATAGATGGACAGATGGGTGGTTCCCATCTCTGGGGGTTCAGAGTCACTATTGCAGGGAATGGAGACACATGCATACCCACAGCCCCTCACTTGCACACTTCCCCCACCCCTCATGCTCCCTATACCCATACACCCTCAGGGACACACCCCTATACATGCATGTACCCATGTTCCTGTGCACATCCCTACACACACCCCTGCTCTCGCACACACCTATGCACATGTTTATTTCAGAACAAGTTTCCCGAGTCTTGTAAGCAGTAGTTTTGGCCAGTGCCTCTTCAACTTGGTGTCACCCCCTCCTCCCATTTCCCCTAGGGGAGGGGTTGTCTGGACACTCTCTCAAAAGTCCCTTCTCCTCCCTGTTCAGCCTTACCACACTCCAGCTTGGTGGCCCCAGGGCAGTGACTTCATCTTCCTGAACCTCTCTTTCCTCAGTCTATAAATTGGGGTTGCTGGTCCCGCCCTGCTTGCCTCATAGGGCGGCACCAGCATTCCCATGAGATAAGGGGAAAGAGAGCGTTTTGTCAACTACAAATTGTTTTCCAAACAGTCAAATGTTGCTATTGCTTTCCCAGCTCCTGAACTCAGGACCTCCTCCATCTACACGTGAAGCCTGTCCTTGGGTGGGATGGAACACAGCAGGGAGGGAGAGAGGGAGCCTGGCCAGTCCCAAGGCTCCCATTCCACCTGGTGCCGCTGGAGGGGCATGGGCCCCGCTGCCTCAACCTTTGTCAGAGTCTACTGTCTGCTGGGGTTGGCAGGGATCTTGGCCATTTGGCTGTAGGGTCTGGGGACAATTTGGCAATGGAGAGTGAGGGAGAAGGGAGAGGTGGAAACTGCTTCATCAAAGCCTGAGTCTAGAGTGGTGTCATTTGTTCAAGGATATGTCATCTCAGATTTGATGCTCATCTACCTGTGGTGGGGGCCCTCACCTCAAGTACAGCCAGGAGCCCACCCTTAGGAGAAAGCCAGGGTTCCATCTCACAGGTATGTGGGTGCCTGCTGGGCATAGCTGGAGCTGCCCAGGAACCATCACTGACACTTAGTTTTGGTGGACCCCTGGGGGTCCAGGGGACATGGGATGGGAGTGAGGCAAGGGTGGGGGATCTGCTGAGGTGACTACCCCCCTTCTTTTCTTCCTGGCTGTGACTAGGGACCAGGTGGCCCCCATGAAGTTCAGGTATTTGGATAGGTGTCCGTGGAGACTCAGGGGCCGCTCCATGAAGGCAGTGATGTGGGAGTGGGGCTATGGTAGTTACTTTGCAAGGAGCTTCTGACCTTTGCACCTCTGAACCTCTGAGAGATTCCCTTCTCCCAATCTAGCCCAAACCCCATAGTTTCTCTCTGTGAGAAACTGAGGCCCAGAGACGCAAAGGAACCACCCAAGGTCACACTGAGAGTAAGAGTAGAACCTGAGCCTCCTATATCTTACCCCTGTGCTCATTTCTATGCCTGGGAAAAAGGGGCTCTTGCTTGGAGACATCTTTTATGAAGGATTGTATGGACTCATGTACCTGCATGACTGAAGCCAGTTTATAGCAATAGCCTGTGGGCTGGAGCAGTCAGGATGGGCTCCTTGGAAGAGGTGGTAAAATCTGGTTCACCATCTGTTGAGCTTTCCTGGGTCCTCCTCAATTTAATCTTATTCTGTCCTCATGGTGAGTTGTGAGGGTTTCATCCTCTTATCTCCACTTTCTAGGTTTACTTGTTCAATAAATATACAAGTATTATCTGAGCCAGTACTCTGTGCCAGGCCCAGAAACTGGGACCCACAGGTGACCAGGCAGATTGGCCATGCTCTTGTGGGCCCACAGTCTCATGAGGGAGGCAGCATGGTGCCAGCCTGGCTGGGGAATCAGCCGTGTGGCCTGGGACCAGTTACTTTCCCTCTCTGTGCCTCCATTTCTCAGCTAAAGAATGGTGATAACAAAACCCCTTGCTCCTAACATTTATAAAGTGCTCAGAACAGAGCCAGGCACATTGAAAGTGCAATATCTATATGTGTGTGTTTGTTTAAAGAGTTATCAAAGGAACAAGCTAATTGTAGGTTGTGAGCCAGTGCTGCACAGGAGGGAGGTAAAAAGGGTGATGACGTGGGAGCTTGCTGGGGAGCTGGAAGTGTTTCTATCTTGATGGGGGTGTGGGTCACGGGGGTGTGCAGCTGTCAAAACTCATTGAGCTGGGCTCTTGAGACCTGTGCATTTTACTGTATGTGAAGTATACCTTAATGAGCAAAACACATGTATAAAAAAAGAAAAAGGGTGAAGGGAGAATGAGGAACTCTTGAGGTCCTCTTTAGTCGGGGTGGTCAGGGAGGGCTTCTGAGAAGAGGTGACATTGGGGGGACTCCTGGAAGAGGAGAAGGCTCTGGCTATGGAGAAGAAAGATGAGGAAACTGAGGCTCTAAGAGGTTTGGGGCCACACTCAAAGCCAACCCAAGGGATTAAGAGTGACAGCCCAGGAGATTTCTTGATAGCTGGGCCTGGGTGGGACCAGGTCCACGGCTCTGGCCCCTGTGATCTCCCCTGCAGAGAAGTCAGTGGAGGCATTTATTGTGTCTTCTGGGGGCAGCCATATCTCCACCCCTGTGCCTGTTCTCAGGGCCTTGGCACTCAGAAAAGGACTATTTTAATCCGTGTGGGAAATGGGTTCCTAAATATGGACTGAGTAGGGTGGGAGCCATTCAGAGGCTCCAACTCAGGGCAGCTCCACCTGCTCCTCCACCTCAGCAAAGCACAGGGTACAGTCTTAGGCCATGAGGCCCTCTGGCCCTCCTTGGCCATCCACTCCCTTCCCCCCACTCTCTCCCACACCTCCCTTCTAGCACTGTGCCCACCCGCCCGTCTTTTGTTTGTTCAGGAGCTCAGTGTTTTCTGTTGGCCCCAGCCAGGGACCTGCAGCTGGACCTGCCCTGCCTCTTCTCTAAAACTGCTTTCAGCCTGATTGGAGGTACAGAGGCCAAAACCACAGGGGGAGGTGCTGGGAGGTCTTTGCAGACCAGGAGACATCTGAGCTGAGCCCAGAAGTTTCCTCAAAAAGAGGGAGTTGGCCCAATGGGGAAGGAGAGGGGCAATGGTGCATGTGGCATAGGCATAGAGTAAGGCTGTTTGGGCCTGGTAAGTACATTATTCTGACCAGAACAGGAAGGGTTGGGAGCCAAAGGTAGCAGGCAATGAGAGGAAGGCAAGCCCTGAATGGCAGGGGAGGTGGTGGCTATTATTTGGAGCCATGGGGGAGGGGATTTAAGGGGTTGGGGCAAGGATAGGTAGGGCCGAGGACCTCACTAGGAGTGTTCCAGCTGTGCGCTTGGGATTTTATGAGAGAAGAGAGAGGACTCTGGTGTAGGAGTGAGATGCTAGTAGCAGGGCAGAGTGAAGAGGGGGTCCTGGAGCCAGTCTGAAGACCCCTCCAGGACACAATCAAGTCAGACCAGACTGGGCAAGAGATAGCAAGGGGCAGGGAGAAGTGTAAGGAGGCCACACAGAAAAGAGGTGTAGAGGGAACAGAGCAGGGACGGAGGATGGTACATCTTGGGTCCTGTGGCTAAAACTGGGGTACTCCTGGCTACAGCCACCTCAGGTAGTGTGGTGAGTGGGAGTGACTGAGCCCCTGCCTCCAGCACTGCAAGCAAGAGTCTGGTACTCAGGAGCTGTGTGGGCAGAGAACTGAGGGATGTTCTGGGAGGCAAAGGCAGCGTGAGCAAAGGACCCATGGTTTCCAGGCTGGGAGTCTGCCTACAGCAGCCTCCATGCACACCCCCACCCTGGACTGGTTAATGGAGCAAGGACCCCAAAACTGGTGGAGGGGCTTGCCCAGCTCCCTGCACCCCCAGGCTAGGTCGTGGTTAGCTGCTGCAGAAATGGGGGAACAGCTATGGGGCAGCAGGCATGAGAGCCTACTGCCTTCCTCTGTGCTCCTGTCTACCTTAGCCTAGAGAGCTTGGTCCCAGAGCTGTTCTTCACAGTGCCCTGCAGAGGGGAAGGCAAGGCCAGGGATGGTACAGGGTCCTGCAGGTACTGAGCAAGATGAAACTGCTCTGAGCCGTAGGCTTGAATTCTGACCCTGGTCCTCAACCCTGATCAGCTAGGAAACAAATGGGGCTGGGTCTCAGGTGAGCAGCCCTGTGGGGAGATGGTTTGTCCCTGTTCTCCACATTCTGGACCACCTCACCCCGCATGCTGACTTCTCCTCCTCCCCTATACCTCCTCTGAGCAGGAGCACTCCGGGGGGCCTTGCTCATTTCCAGCAACTGGCATTATGGTTGGCAGCCATAGCCTAGGGCTGAGTTAACCTGAATGAGGATCCTGGTGCCTGCCCACCTGCCACCTGCCTTGCTGTGATGCATCCTGTAGGGATGACTCTGTTATTACTCCATTTTACTGAGTTGTGGGCTTTGACTTGGAGCTGTGAATGTTTGCCTGAGGTCATACTGAGTCACTGGGAGAATTCAGCCCCAAACTCAGGCTTCACCTGACCAGGATGTTACCTCCCTCAACTAGGGTGCCCCCTGCCCCCAGACACTAGCTACGGGTCTACAACTCTTGTGTCATAACATTGCAAAAGTGCAGCTCGAGGGATGTGTGGCCCCTGACCTGGGGTCTCATACCTGATGTGTGATTTGCTTACAAAGCCCACTCAACTCCCACTTCCCTGGCTGCCCTGGAGAAGGCATGCAGGGCTTCTCTAGCCTCTGAGTCTTTCTAAGCTGTCAGCTACCCCCAGGGCCTTCCTGTGGCCATTGGACCACAAATCAGAGAAACCTAGATTCAAATCCTCATTCTTCCCTTTATAAGATGGGTGACTTTGGGCAGGTCACAGGCCTCTCTGAGCTTATGTATTCTTGTCTGCAAAGTGAGGGCAGTGGCACTATCTGGGTGGCTGCTGGAGAAGTGGGCTGTGAGCCTGACACTTTCTGTGCCTACCTTCCCTCAGCTCCTGTATGACAGCCCCAAGGCCCGGCAGGAGGTGGACCACCACTGGCAGGCCTCAGGAGGCCCCCACATCGTGCGCATCCTGGATGTGTATGAGAACATGCATCACAGCAAGCGCTGTCTCCTCATCGTCATGGAATGGTATGCTGTCCTCATTGGTACTCCTGTGGCCCCCAGGCTCCCACCATTCTTCTAGGGGCCCTCTCTGCTCTTCAGATAGCAGCTATGGGAGGCACTCCAGCCCTTGAGGAGTAATGGAGGGGCAGCTTCAGGCATTGCCCATAGAGCTGTGCAGCTGCTAGCCACAAGGCCGTTCCCACAAGGATGGGAAGGGAACCATGGGGGCTCCAATTTGGCTTCCCTGAGTGTGATTTCACTTTGGGAAGAGGGGCTGGAAGAGTTGTCAGAGAAAGCCGCCAAGTCCTGATTGTGGGTCAGGGGAGATTTGTGGGGGAAGCAGGACACACACAGTCACCTCCTCAGTTTGTACACCTGTGGTCCCTCCAGATACTGGGAGCCAGTGGCCTCTTCTACCTTGGGCTTCTCCCAATAGCACTGTGGCTCAACCCTAGCCTTCCTCAGACCCTGGGCCTCGTGTCTACACCTCAAGCTCCTCCCCACCTACCTTTAAGTCCTTCCTCATCCTATAGGTTAACAGCTCTTGAGTCAGATTTGGGGTTCGGATCCTGGCTCTACTACCCACTGGCTGTGTGATTTTAGATAGCCCTTAACCTCTCTGAATTTTTGTAACTGCCATGTAAAATGTGGAGGAAGATCTAAATGTAGTATTCACCCTGTACCTGACTCCATTCTAAATGCTCCATGTGTATTGCTTATTCAATCTGTGCAACTCTGTCACACTGGTGCTATAAATCCCATTTTACAAAAGAGGAAGCTGAGGCACAGAGAGGTAAAGGGACCAGCCCTGAGTCACATAGCAGTGCACGTGAAGGGTTTGCCCAGGGTACAACACCCTGTAGGTGTTCAGAAAGCTGTTGTCATGATGATGACAATTGACATCTCCTCCCTTATATGAAGAAGCTGAGGCTTGGATGGAGGGTTGGGCTGCCCAAGCCTCAACCAGATGGGGGCAGTGATCCTGGTGAGGACCCCTGGGGAGCCCACCCTATTTCTAAGAGTCCAGTTAAACCCACCCAAGCTGATGGCCCACTACGCACCAAGATCTTCAAGGCACGAGGAGGCTGATGCTGACTGTTTCCAGGGGCAGAGCGGCAGGGCCTGAGGTCTGGGCCTGTGATTCAGAGCAGGGGCAGGCTGACACTTGATTAGCCCACTCCCTGCTTACAGTCACTTTTCTCTTCTAGCATGGAAGGTGGTGAGCTATTCAGCCGGATTCAGGAGCGTGGCGACCAGGCTTTCACTGAGAGAGGTATGTGCATGCAGCTGGACCAGAGGGTGTGTTCCAACTGAGATGAGTCACAAAAAGTTGCTGTGTGATGCTGGGCAAGGCCCTGCTCCTCTCTGTGCCTCAGTCTATGCAGCTGAATAAGAGATGGTGGGATAGAGTGTTCATCCTCCCAAGGAGTTCCATGAATTCAAAATACCTTGTCAAAGATGGACTCTTCATGGCTTTGGGATGGAGGCCTCAAAGCCTCTTGGTGCCAATGAGCATCTCAGCTGGGAAGAGGTAGCCCAGGCCTGAGGAAGGAGGTAGAGGGGGACTGTGCTTTCTACCCCCAGAGGAAATTAGGATGAATGGGGGTGAGGGTATAGGATGGGTGTCCTGGGTGGCAGGACTGCTATCACCATCTTGTGCTATTCCAGGGGGGTGATAGGGTGGGGGCCCCAGGCTGCTCGACTTTTGACTGGCATCACTGCCTCCTCCTCTATGTCTGCAGAAGCTGCAGGAATCATGCGGGATATTGGCACTGCCATCCAGTTCCTGCACAGCCGGAACATCGCCCACCGAGACGTCAAGGTGAGGCTCTAGGACCCAGGTTGGGGGACCAGAGAAGGGAGTACACAACCCTCAATGGCTCCCAGTACCCGCTAGATGGAGGCGAGTTTCCTTGATCAGCATTCAAAGCCTCTGCCCCCTGGCCCAGACTGCTCTTCTCAGCCACTTCTCCCATGGTTTCAGCATATTCCTTCTGCTCTAGCCAGATGGGTCTCCTTGTTTCTTTTAAACACTGTGTAATCCCAGTAGGCTTAAGCATAAATGAGTTCTTGCCTCAAGCCAGTAGACACTGACAAGCATCTTGTTTAATTCTCATATAACCCTGTGAGATAGGAACCATTACCCATTTTACAGATGAGGAAGACAGGTCTCAGAGAGAGATTGTACCTTGCCTAAGCCTGCACAGATGCCACACTGGGATTCATTCATTCTTTCTTTCAGCAAGGACTTTTATGAACATGCAATGTACCAGGTCTCAGACAGGGACTGCCTGACACTGTTGTGGCTTCTGTGAAGTAACAGCCATAGTTTTGGTGATTAGGCCCTCTAACGCTAGCATTTTAAGGGAAAGAAGCCATTTGCTGGGAGGCAAGGAGGAACCAGTTGAAGTAGTCCCAGCTCCTGGGTCTGTTTGCCCTTTCAGTGGATGGGATTCAGACACTTTCTAGAGGTTCAGCTCTCCAAATGTCCTATCTAGGGAGGACTGGGTCCTATAGGTCATCAGGATTGGATGCATAAAATGCAAACCGCATGAGGCAGTCCCACACACGTATGTATACACGTGCCAGCCACCATCAGAGCAGAATCTGTGAGTCCTAAGCCCTCTACCCCAGGCTTAGAGCATCACCCTGAGGCTTACTTCCTCCTGAGACTGGGCAGAGAGGAGTGGAGGGCCCAGCTACAACATCAGGCTCCTCCTCTGGCTGAGTACTGCCAGTCCATTTATCTTTTGATTCTGGATACACATGGAGCCAGGACAGACTCACCTTCTGAACCCTTGCTTTATTTTGGCCCTGGCTTCCTTTTTTTCCCAAGGAGAGAAAAGCTTCTTTAGAGGTGACTCCCTTGAATAAACTAAACATGCTTTCCTGCTTTCATCCCAATCCAAGATCAGATCATCTCAAATAGAACTGGAGAAAAAGCTTTCACTGGCTCCAAACTGGAACTCCATCCAATACCGTGTCCTTTTACCCCAGCTCTGCTTGAGGGTCTCTCCTTTCCTCCAGAGCCCTAGGTCCTACCTATTCATTAAAAACCAGCTTCAGGACTGCCTCCTCCATGCAGACCTCCCCGCTTCTCTTTTCCTCAGGCTCTCTGTGCTTTTCAACCAGGAAGAACAGCCTCTGGGGCCTAAGTGGTGGGGGCTTTCTTCCTGAGCAACCTCGGGCAGGGCTGCCCTGCTCACTTGTTCCAGGTTGGGCACAGGACACGGGCTTGGCAACATGACAGCCTACCTTGCCCCAGAACCTTCGTTTTGGTATTTCATGGCAGCATTACCAACACAGGCTTCAAAGTTCCTGCCCCTGGGCTCTGTGTGGCACTTGGCTTTTCACAGCTTTGGCTGAACACCTGCCTCTGTTTCCCTTCTGTGAAAGGAGGCGTTACCTCCCAGCCACCTTGGTCTTCTCCATATTTGGCCCACATTGTTGGTAACCAGGGCCCCGGTCTTTTTAGTGAGATGGAGCTGGTTCCTCCTGAATGGATTGGGGTGAAGGAAGTCTGCCTGAAGATCATTTTGGGACTCTGCCCCTGCTTGGTGCCTAACTCCAGACCAATGTTTTATCTTCCTGGCCCAGCCTGAAAACCTGCTCTACACGTCCAAGGAGAAAGATGCAGTACTCAAGCTCACTGACTTTGGCTTTGCCAAGGAGACCACCCAAAATGCCCTGCAGACACCCTGCTACACTCCCTATTATGTGGGTGAGTCCTTGGGATATGGTTTGTATGTCCCTACTCCCACTGGACCCTGCTGTGGTGTGGGGCAGCCTATGGGTTGCAGAAGCCAAAGGGTTAAAGCCCAGTAAGGAGGGAGGAAAGGATTCTATGGAGGCGGTGATGTGGGGGGCCGGAGGCTGCAAAAATATTCTCCCAAACTTCAGCTTCTGCTTTTGAAAATAGATCCAGGAAAATTCTGGCTGTGGCCTGTGAGCTGAATGACATCACAGCAGCTCTAAATATATACGTGATAAAAGGCTGCCATCAGCTCGGGACGGAGCCCAACCGAGGTTGTTTTTCTCCAGTTTTTATCTTCCTGGGATTCATATTCACAAAGTAGGCAGTCCTCCCCTATTACATTAGAAGGATACAGGGCACCAGCCACTTGTCTTGAGGGAGAGGGTCCCTTAGACGAGGGCATGGACGGGATTTGGGGATGTCACATACTCATGCTTCCAGAGAAGCTCCCTGCTCCCTTATGAGTGGGAAGCCCAGATCTGGAAAGTGTCCCTACTGTGAGAGAGGGGTGATGACTCTATTTACAGAGGGCTCTTTTCTCTCAGGGAGGCCTTCCAAGAGAGCTGCTGAAGGGGTGGGGAACCCTTGAGACAGCTGAAACGGTATCCTGTTTACCAGGATGTGTTTTGCAGTATTTTGGCTTGGAAATCTTCTGGCCTGCCCATCATTGCACAGGTGGGAAGAACAAGGCCCCATGGGATGGTAGCCAAGCTGAAAGTGGAAACCAGAGCCCTACCCTTGGCCCCTCCTTGCCCGTGATCTAGGCTGTACATTTAGGGAGACAAGGGACACAGAGCAGCTGGTGGCCTGAGGCCCTTCACCTGTGGCTGGACTCCACCAAATCCCAGACTGACCTTCTCTCCCTCTCCTCCCTCACCAAGGCTGATATTGGCCCGAAGAAGCTAGGAAGCTATCATTCTTTACAGCCCAGCCTAAAAGCGGGTTTATTTTTTCTGGGAGCCGTTTTTCCTCCCCCAACTTCACACACATGCTGCCTTCCCAGAAGGTGCCAGACACCAGTCTGCTCTGTCCCACCCCCCAGCCCAGGCACCTGCTCCCCACCTTTCTCAGGCTTCAGGCTCCTATCTGGGCTCCAAGACCTTTGGGCTGAGAGCCCTCCTGTGCCCTCTGCCCTGCTAGCTCCTGAAGTCTTGGGTCCAGAGAAGTATGACAAGTCGTGTGACATGTGGTCCCTGGGCGTCATCATGTACATCCTGTGAGTACCACCACCTTCACCCCTATACTACCTCCTCATATCCTCAGAACCACTTCTGCTCTGCCCCCCTCAAACCTTTGGTGAACCTTGAGTGGGTCATTCTTCATGCAGGCTGCCCTTCCCTTTTGGTCAGGGGACACCCCTCCTTCAGGCTGCCTGAAGGTCTCTCCTTGCCAAGGGCAGATGGCATTCCTAGCATGACCCCAGAGTCCAGAGGGCTGGTATTCTTGCCAAGGTGGCTGCCATAGTGGCTGCCTATCTTCCCAGTCAGGGATTTGGGGAGGGGAATGGGTCCACCCTGGTGCTGCCCTCACACCTGTGCTGAATGACCTCCATTCTCCTGCAGCCTGTGTGGCTTCCCGCCCTTCTACTCCAACACGGGTCAGGCCATCTCCCCAGGGATGAAGAGGAGGATCCGCCTGGGCCAGTATGGCTTCCCCAATCCTGAGTGGTCGGAGGTTTCTGAGGATGGTGAGCTTGCTCCACTGGACCCCATCAGCCTTCATTCTGGGAGATACCACTTTGGTGTCAAAGCAACCTACGTTCAGATCTTGTGTGTGTGACATCCCATATCCCATATCCCAGCTGTGTGGCCCTAGGAAGGTTACTCAAACTTTCTGAACCTCAGTTTCTATATCTACCAAATGGGCTCAAAACTCACCTCCTCAAAATTTCCTCTAACTCCTGTCCCTTATTAATATTTTCCCTTTGAGGACCCTGTATCCATTCTCTATGGCTACTTAATGAGCTCTTCCCAACACTTAGTAGCTTAAAACAAGAAACAGTTATTAGCTCACTGTTTCTATGGGTTAGGAATCTGGGGGCACATGTAGAGTGGGGTGGGGGACTGACTCTGAGGGACTCTGTAACTTCCCCACTCCGCATTCTTCCTCTAGCCAAGCAGCTGATCCGCCTCCTGCTGAAGACAGACCCCACAGAGAGGCTGACCATCACACAGTTCATGAACCATCCCTGGATCAATGTGAGTGCCTCTGTGCCCTGTGGTGGGCAGAGTGGCAAGCTGGAGTGGGGCCGTAGGCAGGAGGGTGATGTCTCTGGAGGTCCTGGGGCAGGCCACAGATGTGTGACAGGACCCCACCAACAGCCTGACTTTGCCACTGCTTCAGTCAGGCTCCTTTGCCTCCCTGAGCCTTGGATGTCCCATCTAAGACAGGAAGAAAGGGGGTGGGGTGGGGAGCCAGTGCTGTCCCAGGTGCCTGCAGGTTCTAATCCATGGGCTTGGGGCTCCTTCCAGCAATCGATGGTGGTGCCACAGACCCCACTTCACACGGCCCGAGTGCTTCAGGAGGATAGAGACCACTGGGATGAGGTCAAGGTAGGTGGATGCTGCCTCAGTCTCCTTACAGCTTCCTGGGGTTTGGAAAAAGGGACTCCAGGGTGGTGGCTACCAAGATCCTGCGTCATCAGCCACTCCCCCATGCCTAGACACAGGACACCTGACTGCACTGGTGTCCAACTGTGGCACTCAGAGCACTGGGCTGTGCTATTGCATTCAGGATGGTGCTCCTGGCTCACAGGGACTTTGGGCCAGGGGCTTAGTGAAGGGGATTTGGCCATAACCCCCCTACAGTTTCTATTTTGGAGAGTGGTCAGCCTGGTTTTAGACTTAGCCGAAGCCAGGTTTGAGCACATGGGACAGCAGCTCAGAGCCCCAGGTTACCCTGGACACAATCTTCAAGCTTCATGTCCTGGGTGCCTTTCAAGATGATGTCCCCTGCAGGCCTATGCTTCTTAGCAGGTGACATTGGCCAAGGTCCCTCTCCTACTTACACTAGTGTGGTCCCAGGGAGTCACTATACTTTCTGTGCCTTAGTGGATAAGCTCAGGGTCCACCAGAAAGGACTGTAGTGAGGATTATGTGACACAAGGGGATGGCCCAGTGCTGGGCGCTTGGGCAATAAAGGCTGTCACTGCCCTCATTGACATTAGTAAGGGGCTAGAGGCAGGAGGGTGATGGTTCTTGAGGCCAATATGTCCTGACCTCCGTGGGTATCTGTCTGCAGGAGGAGATGACCAGTGCCCTGGCAACCATGCGTGTGGACTATGACCAGGTGCAGATCAAGGACCTGAAGACCTCTAACAATCGACTGCTCAACAAGCGGAGAAAGAAGCAGGCAGGCAGCTCCTCAGCCTCACAGGGCTGCAACAACCAGTAGCTCATGGGGCCTTGGATGAGCTGGGCCTCTTGGTGTGGCGTATAGATCCGAGTGTGCTGTGGCCCTGACCCAGAGGGCCTGGGGTCATTATTTGTAACAAAAGGATCGTTTTTTGTTGTGTTTTAATTTGTCACTTGGAACATCAGGATGGGAGACCTTGACTCCAAACCTCATTAGACAGGGCCCAGAGCCTGGGAGTTAGGGAGCCACCTGCCTCAGCTGCAGAGACTTTGGCCAGAGTGGCCCCAGTGAGACATAGGTCTGTTCTGCGCTGGGACATGGCCTTAGACTTCTAGGCTACTGGGGGTTGTGGCAGGCTTCCCTCCTCCCATGGAGATACCCCCTCTGTAGGGTAGGCAGATGGGCCTGGCCTTGGGAAAGGCATCTGGCCATTGGTTGCTATGGTGACCAGGGACTGAGTTGCTGTCTCTGAATGCTGAGTAAGAGAGTAAGGGAGGGAGAAGGGCCAATGGAGGGTCCACCTCTGCCTCCTTGGAGAGGTTTGTCTCCCTCACACTACTTGCCCCTCTCAGGATTCCTCCCTCTGGTCTCCTCGAGGCACCAGGGTCAGTCTGCCTGCCTCGCTGGGGGGTCCAGCCCTATCTTGCTGCAACCCCATCCCACAGGCCCCTTGGAGCTCTCTCTCTGCAGAGTCCCTGGGCCTAGTGATCCTGTTACTACCCCTTACCCAAAGAGTGGCTTCTCATCTCAGGTGAGGGTGGGAGGTATTTTTAACCCTTTTCTACTTTGGAAACTGTCACTGTGACAAAAGCCAGCACAGTTCTGCCCCCACCCGCTTACCGGATCCCAGGCAGGAAAGCTTCTCTCTGTAACAGTTCATCCTCCACCTTGTCCTGGTTGATGGCAGGGACTGTCTCTTGGTGTAGTTTTTTGAGGGTGGATGGCTGAGGACAGGACCAAGAGGCTTCCCGTTAATCAGGAGTCTCTTTCTACACTCCAGGTCAGACCTGAGGCAGTAGAGGGCTGCTGAGTGATGCTTAGAAGGTCTGGTTCTGGGTCCTGGCTTCAGCCTCAGTGGGACAAGAGAGGACCTTCCTTGCTGGTCCAGGTTTACCCAGGCCCACACTGCCCAGAGTAGCCTCAGGGTTCTCAGTGCCAGATATGGACCTGACAAGTGCCTGATACACATCCTGGTTCCTGACCCCTCTCTCTGGCTGGGAAGCCCTAGACCACATCAGATAGGAAAACACCACTGGGGTTTACATCTAGATATTAATAAACACCATTCTGGCATTTTCTCCTTGTTCCTAGGTTTCTCTGTCTACATGAGTGGACAAAAGTGGCCCCAGGGCAGTTGCTCACACCTACTAGTGACTGCACCCCCTTCAGGCTTGGTAAACATGCCAGGCTGACTCCAGGGCCACTGTGGCCTTGCCAGGCGTGGAAAGGTCAGAGGAGTGGAGGAATGGCAGCTGTCTCATGCCACCAGCTCTGGGGTGCCCAGTGCACTGTGTGTGTGACACCCACCCCCAGGCCCCGCGTGCACCAGCGTCTGCCCACAGTGGCCACCCCCAGCTGCATGCCAGCCTGCTGAAGGGCGGGCAGAGAGCCTGCTGCAGCACTGAGCTATTTTCAGAAGCTGCCAGATTTCATTTGGCAGCGAGAATGTCGGGGAGGGAAGGGGGCGGGACGCTGGAGACTGTCTTTTGACTATTCCGGCAGCAGAGCACCCTCTGCCCTCGGGAGCCCTTGCGGGCAGCCTGGGCGGGGGGGCCCTGACTCTGGCATATTCCCTCAGCTCCTATCTTGAAACCTCCCAGTTTTCCAAGAGCTCATCTGGCACCTGCAGCTCTCCCTCCTCCACCTCCCGTCCCCTTAGGGTATGGAGGAGGGGGGAAGATGGTAGAAGGCAGGGAGAAGCCAGCACTCCTGAGATACAGACTCTTTCCTAGCTTGGCGACCTTGGACAAGTCCCCAAGGTTTCCCGCCTCATTTCCTCAACTGCAGTGAGGAGGTAGTGCCCACCCTGGGGAGTCATCTGGGGGATCCGGACCGATGCTGTGTGTGAAGTGCTTAGTGAGCTGCCTGGTGCATGGCTAGTGCCCAGCACTCATGTGCTACCCTAGCATACTTAGCCATCAGGAAGGAGAGAAATACTTGAAGTTGCCAGAGGGATAAGGAACCCAGCCCCAAATCTACCTCTGGGACTTCCCGCCCAGAAAATCAGGCTTTTGCTACCCATGGGGTTTCATTTCCAAGAGCCTGCTCTCCAGAGCAGCATCATATGGGCTTTCTGAATTGCAGTTCCAGTCCTGGGCTTCAAGAAGGGTGGCCCACCCTTTTGAAGGGCTCCTGGGCTCCCCAGATGAATTCTGGGGGCCTCACGGAACCTGTGGTTCAGACCAACCCTCCTCGTGTACTCTGCCCAGTGAAATGCCGGCCAGATGCAAAGGCAGATAGTCTTTCTAGTCACAAAGCTTAAGAGCTGCAGACAGACTCCTTTGCTTGGTTGCTGAGTATGCACTGTGCCTGAGCCCCCGTGCTGGGTGCAAGGAAAGCAGCAGTGAAAGCTGCACACAGGGCTCTCAGGAGATTTATACTCATCAGGAAGAAGGATAAGCTATCACACATATGTGCCGAATCACAGGCTTAGTATGATCTGTGAAGAAAGGATGTGGCTTGAGAGGGAGGTGTCATAGGGCCTTTTAAGCCAAAGAGATTAATGCACACCAGTGGCTAAGGAGGGTGCCTGATTAATTTATAGGATTGAAGTCAGAATTGCAGGGACCAGGGTCTTGGGGACAGAGGGACTCTGCCCCTCAGCTCTGCTTGTCTGTGCTTCTCCCTGGGGCTGGCCTTGATCTTCTGCCTGCATAGCCTTCTTGGCAGCTAAGACCGTGGTTTTAGCAGTCCCAGAAGGGAGGCATCTGCCAGGTGCCTACACTCCAGACCCAGGGAAGGATTTTTATTGGCCATATGTCACCCATCACTGTTGTGGGGAAGTGGCGGGGGGTGACTAGGCCAGGGGGGTGCAGCAGAGGTAGTTAGCAAAGGAGAGGGTGGAATGATTGTCCATGTCTACTTGGCCACTTTCAAGAGCCCAAGAGAAGCATGGCTCCTTGATCTCTGGTATCAGGTATAGCTCTCACAAGCCAGGGCTAGGAGGCTGGATGCCTGGCTAAGTCACACTCTTTGGGCCTCAGTGTGGCTATCTGTGAAATGGGAGCAAATGTCTAACAATCAGGTAGAATTAGGTGAACTAAAAAGCCAAGTGGCCACATGTTCTCATCAGCCTGTTCAGATACAGGCATTTGCTTGGCCTGCGTGGTGGTTTTCCTGGGAGCTTTCAATAAAGAATCCATAGAGGTGTACTCACATGTGTGCATGAATGAATGCATGTGTGTGTGTGTGTGTGTGTGTGTGTGTGTGTGTG